AGGAATGCCCCAAGACATGTGCCAGCTTATGACAAGCTGTGTCTATAGATTTGTGTTGTAAAACTGAAGATGGCTCATGCACTTGCACGCTAGCTATGAAGTTCCCCATTTATTCTAGGAAAGACAACGCATGTCAGATAGGTTGGAAGACACTAGTCTGCGACTGAAGGATGAGATGGATTTGTACAAGAGAATGATGGATAAGCTGCGGCAGAACAGACTGGAATTTAACAAGGAGAGAGAAGCCACACAGGAGGTAGGTGTCAAGAGGGATCTAAGACCAGGCAATCACATCTCATCAGGATGGAAGCCCATCTGAAATAGAATGGACAGACTGAAAATACAAGATCCAGTGAATGTATTACTGGATTGTGTTTCTATGGGAGGGGTACCCACAGGGCATTGGATGCTGCAAGAATACCTAATAAATGGCAATCCTTGACCCAAAGAGTTTACAGCTCTCTGAGACTGAGAACTTGCAGCTTTGAATGTGTACCCTAACATTTCCTTTACTAAGTTTGCAAGGGGAATTATGCCTCTCAGACACGATTCTTAGAGATCCGAACCGCTTCCAGCTCTGAAGCGGTTTAAGTGACCCGTGCTTCCATAGAAGAGCAATTGCCTGTATTGTAGGAATGTCCAGCCTCAACCAGGCTCACACAGTGCTTGTGTCAGAGTGCAGAGGTGCACCACAGAGATGGCTGTTGCCAGGGAGGGCTGGTTGTGCAGGGACTGGAGAAACATGACCTGCTTGCATGTCCACAGCTCATTGAAGACTTGCGGAAGGAACTGGAGCACTTGCAGCTGTACAAGCTAGAGTGTGAGCGTCCTGGGCGTGGGAGAAGTTCCTCATCCAGTGTGAGTGAATTCAATGCCAAAACGAGAGAGGTGGAAATGGAGCATGAAATAAAACGGCTGAAGCAGGTGAGCAGGGAAGGGCCTCTCAATCCATGTGAAGTGTACAGGACTGCTTTGAAAAAATGCCTATAGCTGCAAACCCTAGCACACTGCCTTTAGATTTTGTCCCCCCTCCTTCCCACACAAGCACAAGGCCTGCATTGCATCTCTCTAGGACTTCTTTGCACAGGTGATGTAAATTGTGCATGTAGGAAACACCTGTGATTCAAGCAGGGAGGACCTGTCACTGGTGGTGAGTTGCTGTTAGCTTGCAGCCTTACCATGTCATCCAAGCTACCTGTGATTTTAAAAATGTATTTATTTTTTAATGAAACTTTGTAGGAAGAACTTAAAAGCAATGTCTTTTCATCCCTAAATAGGAGAATCAGAAACTTCGTGACCAAAATGATGATCTTAATGGACAGATCCTAAGTCTTAGTCTTTATGAAGCTAAAAATCTCTTTGCAACACAAACGAAAGCCCAGTCACTGGCTGCTGAAATTGATTCTGCATCAAGAGATGAGGTAATATGCTTTTTTAATCAAGTACTACATCCAAAAATATGCATTTTTCAATGTGATTAACTGCCAATGTTGAACTATCTGAAGCTGACAAACAACAGAAAAATCTGCTTTGCTAGGAGTTCAAGAGTGTTAGAAGATTGCCTTAAACCTAACAGTGATTTCGGATGTTCCTTCTAATATAATTCTTCCATTTGTCCTTCTCGAAAAGCTGGAGTTATTAGAATCTCAGTGAACTGTTTTAAAATGGATTTATTTTAACATCATCTGTCTTACAGGTTATTGTGCTATTAGGACACTAACTTCATACAGAAATTACCATAGCTAATTACTTAAATTTTTACTTTCTGTTCTGGATTTCTTTCTAAGTTACTTCAGTAACAAGCTCTCACTTAGATCTAAATTTGAGCTATATATTCCCTGTAGCAGAGCTGAATTCTTGGAGAAAGTTGGTAGTGTGCAAGTAATAATCTGATAATGCTTTGGAAGATATTTGGAGGCCCATTTGTATGTGGGCTGAGTCAAGCTGGTACAGCTCCAGGAGTGAGATTAGACCAATGGATATGTAAGAGCTCCTGGGGAAAAAGACAGGTTAGTGATGAAAGAGATTAAAAAGAATTGTTTCTTCTGGACAGAACGTCCCATTTCCTCTTCAAGAAGAGTCCTGAGACAAACCTCTTCACCCAATCTGTACTTGAATGACCCTGTTAGCCTTAGCTCCTAGGCAGTCCCTTGAAGTGAAGTGCATACTTGAGTTTCTTGCTGAACCAGGGCACTATGAAGAAAGGCTGTTTAATTGTTGAACTCTAATTATGTAAAAGCAAATTGGGCTTTTGCTATTGTCAAGACAAATCTTTATTTCTCCTTCTGAATCTCATGACTCTGGCTCATGCAATACCCAGCATTCCCTCCAAAGGAGCAAAGTGCCTAACAGTTGTGGCCCAGGCTTAGTAAACCCCACTGAAATGCATAAACTTTTACCCATTGTGCCATTTCTCCTGTATAATCAAAATGAAGGTAAGAAACTGCAGATTCAGGGTGAGACTTTTATCCAGGCTAATGGAAATGGACACCCAAATCACATTAGCTTTAGGCTCTGACTCTCCTGGGCAGCCTTGTCAGTTTGGCATTAAACATGTAGAGTGTGAAGAGCAAGCAGTCTTCATCTTTGGAGAGTTTGAGGGGCTGTTAACAGCTCAAAGGTCTAGTAAAACACGTCTTTAATATAGAACATAGAATATTCAGTGGGTTGTTCATGAGGACTATGTAGCTGTGTTGGAGGGAGGGGGGGTGAGAGAGAGAGAGTATGCACACGATACAGAGGCAGCCCTTATTGTACCCAGTGCAAAACACTGAAATCCGTGTTCTGTTCAGCAGCCTTTCATGCAAAGTGCTTTAAATTTCAGTAGATATGAAAAAAATTTAGTATCGTGATGCTTGTGCACTGAGATGAGGAAGCTCATCTGTGGTGTGGATGCAGGAGGGGGAACTTGTTTCAAATGACCTGCCAAAATATTTGTGGTGATGACAGTTCACCACCTTCCTTAATAGTAAAGATCTTTAACATGCAGATTGTTTCTAATAGAGATACAGGGAGGAGCCAGAGGTAGAATACCTGTCACAAAAGGGAATTGGTGATCCTGAGCAAGCACTAGTCTCTCACTTGCCTGAATTTCATGCTATTATGTAAACTAGTGAGAATATTTCAAGATTAACTTTGAAATGTTGTGTTTCAGCTCATGGAAGCCCTTAAAGAACAGGAAGAGATAAATTACAGATTGCGACAGTATATGGACAAGATCATTTTGGCAATCCTAGACCACAACCCATCTATCTTGGAAATAAAGAATTAAAGAGCATATGAGAAGGGAAAGCAGCAACTGCCTGATATTTCTGCACATGCCACTGGATCTAAACAACACTCTGATACTGTAAATTAATCTATAAATATATATATACACTACGTGTGAGTGTGGGTGCGCGGGTGTGTTTATATGATGTTTGGTATTTGTCATTGAATTGGCTTGGTTAGACTTTTTTCCATGCACTTTCAATACCTGTGATAAGATGGATACTGTATATTAATGTAATAACAATATAACTGGATCATGCTGTTTTAGATACTGGACAAAATGACTCTACCTCTAGTTGTAAAGGTAAAAAAGACAATGGAAACATATGGATGTGGCCCTAACTTTAGGAGCAAGAATTGTTCTTTCGTTCTTCCAGGAATTTGGGTACCACAAACCAATTAACATACCCAGGTTCAGTTCCTGACTGGTGCTGACTGTGTAATTTCCTATTTGATTTAGTTTTAGTACTTAAACCACACATAGGATAAAACCCCCAAACTTTAGGGAAAAGGAAAGACACAAAAGGGAAGAAGAGGAAGATATTGCAGAATTGTTGCTATTTGTGAAAAATCACCATCCACTTGTTTGCCACTGTCAGCACAAAGTGCTTTTTATGTAAGATCACTTTGGAGCCTGCTTTGGGATGCTCTGAGCCAGCCTGCTCTTTAGCGTGTGTGCGCATGTGTATTTTTTTATGCCAGGGTCCCTGTAGCATTGAGGCTAAGAAGCTGTTCAAATCTGTGCCCCTATTTTCAGGGGTTTATCATGGGCCATTAAGATGAATTCTGGGATCCTGCCCCCTCCCCTCACAGTAATTTTAAAGATTTCACTGAAGGAACACATTCCAGTTCTTACAAAAAAAAAAAAAAACTGAACACAAAAAGAAGAATTGCATGAAATAGCCCACTTAAGGGGAGAAGGAGAAGCCCTTGAAATTACATGTTGAGTTGCTTTCCCGCCCCAGACACACTCCACTCCTTCGAGATTGACATTTTGTGGGCAAGCTGTGGAGAGGACCAGCTGGGTCCTAACACAGCGGTGGAGAGAAATCTGATGTGGAGTGACTCTTACCTATAGGGCAGTACAAAGAAAAAGAGCTTGGTCTTGCAGAAGTTGCTGATCCAGACTGAGTACACACATGCATATCTAAAGCTCTGAATAGGGAGCACATCCTGATTTAGATGAGCAGTTGTGCAGGTGCTTGACTTCAAATGTGTAATGTGACTGCTCATAGAAGTCAGTGGGACAGAACATTAGCTTTAAAGTTGAGCGTATGCTTAAATGCTGCCTTAAATAGGAGTGGACTTCAGCATGTGCCTGTGTTCTCCTGAGCTGGATTTGTGTATCGTAGGGCTAGGACCTTTTTAATTATTAATGGAGCTTATATAAGGAGCTTAAAAATTGTTTGGATAGTTGAATGCTAAAAAATATTTTTACACGCACTTTTTTAAAGTAAAAATTTCACACTTTTGATTGACGCCCACTGGTGCAGAAAAATAGGCCCAATTATCTGGCTTTCCCCAATGCATAGAGACATTTCCTCTATTGAATACACTCCCCAGAAGAATGTTACAGTAGCAATGACTGTGCTTTCCTGTGTATTTCTTGCTGTTGGCAGTGTCTTGCCCCTAGTATTCTCTTGATGTATCTTGGTGTGTATATGTGATGCATTTTTCCTGAATTTGAATACATAAAACATGTATTCAGTTATGGATGTAAATATATATATATATTTTTTTCTGCAATCTCTGTGCTCTTGCCTTCAGTGATGTGTTACTGGAGTGATGGGAAGGGGAGGGGGAAGTCCTGAAATCAGGCTTTCTTGAAGGCAAGAAAATAAAAACAATTTGTTTCTATGTATCTGCATTAGGCAGGTGTAAAGTAACTGGAAAGTGAAAGGGACCAGAGGAATAACTATGGGACACAACGTCCCAGCGCACAAAGATGTCTGCAGGACTTCAGTGCTCTGGGAGAAATGGTACAGTCTTGTTCAAACACTGGTGTCTCAGGGCTGGTTTCCTGAGGCTCTAGGGTAATCTGGAGGAAGGGATTTAAACTCCTTTGCCACCTGGGGGTGGTGTAAAATGTTCTGTGCTAAATTGCAGCAGCTTCTGTTTGCGGAGAAGCAGGTGGAGCACTATGGACACCCCACAACACATCTTTCCCATCTGCTGCTGCTTCTGGATGTGCCACCTAGAAGGTAGGAGAGGAACAGTTAAGCCAGCTTGGTGCTATCTACAGCTCCCTGTCTACTCTTCACCTGCACTTTAGTGATGGCATTTCCCTCTGCGTGATGGTGTTTGTGGGTTGTGCCAAGGGCTTTGCTCTTTTTATAGGCCGTGGAGAACTGTTTCACATTGTCAGGCTAACCTGCTTGTTTGCTGAGTTACACTTCTGTCCTGCTCTCATGCAGTGGATTTAAATGAGAGTGAAGCTATTGCAGGTCAGACTGGTGACTGAATGTTTTCCCCTAAATATTTTGATGTACACTGGACTCAGCTTCAGAATTTTAATAACCTAAAACCCATTCATGTTAGGGTCAAACATCATCAAATGTTGAGGACTATTTAACTGAAAATTATGCTGAGCACTCAGGAAGCAGAGAGCCTGGCTTCTCTGAGACCACAGAGCCTGTGGACATGAACGGAAGACAACATGTTCATAGAGGTAGCCAAGTTTTTGTGCAGGTAACTATATGTAAGAGGTGAATAGTCACTAATAGTGACAAATAGTCACTAAATCTGTCTGAAATCCTGGAAGTGGCACTCTAGCCAGGGGTACCCAGCAGTGGATTTTCTAAAGACTTGCAGGACATCTTGTTTAGCTCTGTACCCAGCTGCTTTAGCATTTAGAAGCTCTTCCTTGCTCCAGTGTTTGCATTTGAAGAGTTGTCTTACCACCATGTTGGTGGTGTTTGTAGCTTTGTTTTATTGCATAAAGGAGTTATACTTCTGCTCCTGTGGGGCCCTTGACATGGTACTGCTTTCTTTTCTTGTTCAGATACGTATCCAGACAGCTGCTGTTTGACAAATAATGTGAGCAGGAGGTGAGAGAGGCATTTCACTGGCAGATACATTTTCCTCTAAGGTATCCAACTCTAAAAATACTAATTAGCAATCGCATTTTTAGACTGAGTAACTACAGATAATGGAGCAAATTGTCTGGCAATCCAAGTCTTGGAGGACTCTTCTATCCCAGAAACGAAGTCATCACATTTTGAGACATGCAGGTAACTTGGTAATAAGGGATCACTCGATGAGTCACTGGGGCAGGGAGAAGAGTAATCTGATACTGATGTTGTGGAGAGTGCATATCTTGATCAAGTGTCAGATACATTGGCAGAACAGACAGGAGATACGGGAGATAGGGAGACATTGGTTTCAGCGTCTATTCTCTGATAAATTTCTTACTTCTTTACTGTGGGCTTCCTTTGTGCGCACAGGCCAGCTGGGGAAGTACACACTGCCTCTGCGTCAGTGTTACTGTTCGCGGAACAACACTAACACTTCCCTGGGTAAATAACTTCAAACACAGAAATGTGGTATCATCTCATTCTAGCAATACTCAAATGCAGTAAACATTCTTGTGTCAAAACTATGCTTCTCATTTAACCCTTGGGGATGCAAACACAATCCAAGGTACTGTATCTTGATCTGCTCCTTAGCTCATTCTACTGTAGATGGTGAAAAAAATTACTTGCTTTAGGCTAGAAGCTGTCCTTCGTCAGGCTAGTCCCACACATAAGCTCCTGAGGAAAATGTTTCTGTTTCAAAACTTGCACTTAAGAGTACCTGAAATGTAACCTCTCATGATTTCTCTTGGTACTGGCTGCTTTCCTCCAGACATTAGTCTTCAGCTGCTGCCTAGTTCTGGTTTGGAGTGTGATGCTGATTCAAAACTGTCTCGTCATCAGAAGAGTGTTTTTGAGCTTTTTGAGTAACTTCTTTTAAAGACTCAAGCTGTTTTGAGAATTTGTCATGTTTTGAAGTGCAACAGTGACAAGCTGTAACCATCCCATCTATTTTTAAGGAGTTTTTAATATGCAAATTTGTAGCAAGTCTCAAAAAAAAAATCCAATACACTTCTGCTGCCAACTTTCCTTCTATGGCCTTGAGAGAAATTTTGATGTTTCTTAGCCAGCTCTGCAGGGAGTTGAACACAGCATCATTAATAATCAAAGGTACGCATAATAACAAATATTTTGCTGTTTGAATAAGCAATGCTTCATTTACTTCAGTAGAACTGCATTACTCTCCAGAGAGGATCTTGGCCTACAGTATTTAGGCTCCTTGATCTGGTTAGTAATTGAAGGCTTGGAAGCTAATACATAAACATACATTGTGGCCTGCTACATCAGTCACTGTTCAGCGGTCTCTGCATCATAGTGCTAATGACATGTGATGAATCGAAGAACTAGAATTTACAAATAAATGAATACTTCTTTTTACTTCTTTAATGGCAGTGCATATACAGTGGTTTTCTCTTAAAACAAATACTGTATGTTGTGGTCTGAGGGATTTTTTCCAAGGAAGGAAGGAAGTAGCAGCTGATCAAACACTTGCCAAATCAGTGGCTTGACTTATATTGATTTGAGTGAAAACTGACTCAAACTTTAACTCGGCGGTTCCTGGACTGGTTCGGGGTGTAAGTAGCAATGCTTATGTTCTTGTTATGTCATTTGTTACTCAAGGAACATTGTCAAGAAGGCATGACAGGTGATGCAACACAGCTGATTCTAAAGGACATAGTTCCACAGTTGCTGGCATTTTGTTCCTTTGCAGCATCCTCCAGTTGTTTTCTCAGTATTTTTCAATCCAAAATACTGATCCTAGGAGCAGTTTGCTGTTGAAGCACATGGCATGTATGGGTTTCTTATTTAATGAAACTCCGCATGTGCCGTTAGAGTTTGATAAGGATTGCAGTAGGTGTTTGGTCTGAATCCTGTAATCCTGCATGATGCACTGGGAGTTGCTCTGATGTGCAAGAGAGTTGTTTCTTTGTGGGATTCTTCCCCAATATATCTTCTGTTGGCATTTACACTCAGTCTTGTTTCCAGCTACCGTGCCCACTGTCAGAGTGTCTATGTGCCTTGGGGCAGCCACTTTAGGCAGATGGGAGGGACAAACACAATATTCTTGGCTTCAGTATGGCTTTAGCTACTGAGATGAAGAATTTTAGCCCTGGCATTATACCAGGCCAGTCCTGTCCATGCCTTTTATGTGGTCCCGAAGACAAGCTGTGTCCTATCTACATGACAGAATGTTGTAGCTGATTCTTATGATACGCAAGCACGTAGGGTGAATAAGCCTGAAGTCCATCCAGGTAAGGCATCACTGGGACATCCCTGTAAGTTTTGCCTTGATTCTGTATAGCATGCTGTACTTATACACTCTGTTCGCAAGGCACAGCCCTCCTAGCTTAGCCTAGCAAGCATACCTTATAGATAATGACAGCAGCCCATTAAGATAGAAACATCTGCAGCTGGGGTCGCTGTTCAGTGTGGGGTCATTTGTTACAGTGCCAGCTGACAGTGCTACATTGTCTTCCTTAAATTTTTTTTTTTTTTTTAGCTTCCTGGCTTAAGTCTCAAAGTTTTGTTCAACTGCAAGAGTAGTGCCTATTCAAACACATAATTAGGGAGAGATTACTTTTTCCTCAAACTTTAAACCTATTGAAAACATCTATTAACAAACATTGACTTCTTTGGTATAGTTTGGACACCTACCCCTGCAATCCGTATTTCTTTTTATGTAGGTGTTGTTAGTGGTGCAGCTGTGACATCTGAGCTGCCAGCTTTCACGTCACTGCTCTCAGCGGAGTGACATTCACCCTGGGAAACCCCCGTAAAGCCCACTGTGCCCTGCTGAAGGGCGCGGAGGTGATTGTTCTGGTAGACACGTGTTCAATACGCAGACATTAAGGGATGCAGGAGGGCTGCAGTTACCCTTCCACCCAGGCACTTGGAGCAGTGGTGGTCTTACACGACCCAACATCAGCCCCATTTTATTTAATACCTTATCTGTAGCTAAATTACGCTGGCTTTGGAGAAAGGAAGTCAGAAGGGGAACCAAGAATTTCATATCCTGTGACCACTTTAGTACACTACAGGGCAGTGAATGTTGCACTGATGGTATGTTTCATTACTGAGATACTTTGAGAATTACTGCAAAATCAGTTGTGGGAGCCATTTGTTTTGCTTTGTTGCACAGACTGTACTTAAATTTTTAGCATGGTTACATATCTTAGTACTTGTGCCTTTTACTTCTCTGTTGTGAGGATACATTTTACTTTCACATTTTATCTCCTGGTTTGGGCACTTTTTAGATACACTTTTTTCATTTGATCTTCATCTCTGGTTTTCATGTAATGTACATGTGTATATATAAAATAGATCAGATTTGTATTCATGTGCCTCTGAGATGTAAAAAATACTCATTTTGTACAGGTTTTTTTAGAAGCACTGTGTCATGGTCTAAATTACTTAGCAAATGAAATTTAACATAATTAGCAGTTCTTTGTCTTCTTTTAGAAATGTTGTGTCTGATGGCTGGTCTCTTTTGTAAGGCAATGTCACACACACACTCCCCACATTTATTGTTCTAGTATCATTACGAGACCAATTCTATCCAGTTGTTGGTTCCAGTGAATTCGAAATAGTAAACCACCTAACGAAATATTCTGGTCCTGACTCGACGATTATCGTTTTTATTCACACTAAAGCCAATTTGCTGCTTTTTATACTTGAAATAGACACCAGACCAAAATCTTATTTGAACACATTGACCATTTCAGGCCAACTTCAGTTTTGGGATTATTTTTGTGGCAATGGGCAAGTGATTTACTTTGCTTATTGCAATGGAAAGAGAAATAGCATTACCAATTCATAGACTCTCCTTAGAGAGGGTAAAATGCTTTAGATTACTTCTGTTCCCTCCCTGGCTTCTGTGGCAGCTTTTCCTAAGGACAGACCCTGGATCTGCATGACTGGAGATCTTCCTCTCGGAGAGGTGAGAAATTGGGTGTCTCGCTTTTCACATTTTGGCAACTGCAGAATAAACTCCTTCCCTTGGGGTTTGCAGCGCAGCACTCTCCGGCAGCATTTGGCAAGCTAAGTAGATGCATTGTGAGACTGGGCCAGCTGTAACTCGGGCAACCAGGGACCTGGTCCTAGAAGTGTCCTTCCCTTCCACCAACCTCCTCTTGAGCTGGTGCTTTCATTTCTTGAGTGTTGACCCCCTCGTCTGGTGAGATGCTTGAATTGTTCCTCCTCTCGCACCTTATGGTTTAGCAATACCCCCACTCACCAGCCCCTGGACAGAGTGAGATAATAAACTGTGGTAAGTCACAAGAAAGAAATTGTCAATATCACCTAAATCTCCCAAAACACAAAGTTTTGATCTATAAAATAATATGTTCCATCCTCATGGAGCAGAATTCTTTTAACTGAATTTGGCACCCACTTGACAGATTACAAAGCTGCCTTAGAAGCAAGGAGGTGGTTTTATTTTTTACTTCAAAGGCTGCTTGGTAGGAAAACGAGCGAGGTCCGCTCACTATTATTACTGAAAAAAACTGAAAAAAGCAGTCAGCAAAAGTGGGGTATGGCTATTTTTAATCTCTTTCTGTACTTTATAACACAAGTGAAGTGATGTCAGTACTGTTGCGATGTGCCATTACACTATTTTCTCTGTATTTTCTTGAAATACTTTCTGGGGACAATAAAGCTGTCCTTGCTAATGTGGATCCTTTCAGGTAGCTGTAATGTACAATCGGATATGTAAATAAATTATTTGCTTTCCCTGCATGACTAAAACATTGTCTGTAGTGGGTGACTGATTCTATGTCCCTCCTTACCCTGCATCCCTGGCACACGCAGTGTATACCCACCTCTATTTCTGTACTTAAAGATGGATTGCTCGGTTCTGCTCTCGCCTGCCCAAATGCCAACTTCATTAGCTTTGGCCAAGTTACACGGATGTCACTAGGGAATGAGTTTGTCTCAGTATGTGCCTTATCTGACAGCCACAACTATGTTAAATTTCCAAGAGCTTTGTGGGATACATAATGCCAAAGCTTCGTGGGACTGACCCGTTAATCTCTCCACCCACGGTGCTCCAGTTCTCAACTGATGGGAACTCCAGCTGTGAGCTTTTTGCAGGAGTTGGAGCCAGCTTTTTAAATCTGACTTAAATATAATTATTTACTGACCCGAGTGGCTAATTAGCATGTTCTCTGACTCTTTTCCTGGGGAGCAGCGAGCTACAGCCTGAAGCCATGCCCTGGGGTGGGGTCTGGTGCTGGTGCATGTTCTGAGCTTGCAAGGCCAGCACTGACCACCCCAGGGCATGCCCATGGGGCACTGGAGAGGGGGGGTTCAGAGTTAACCTAAAGGCAACAGCTTTCCCCCTGCTCGTCTGGGCTGGGGAGAGGCCTGAGGGAAAGCTCTGCTGTGGGTGGCCCATTGCCAAGCCTGCAGGAGCAGCTGTGGCTCCCAGGGGGGCTTGGGTGGGGCCTCCCAGGAAGCTGGAGCCCACCACCAGTGCAGTGTGTGGAGGCAGTGGGGGCAGAAGGAGACCCTCAGTCTGGTGCAGGCTCAGGCCAGGACTCACCAAGTCACCATCCCCAGCGGCACAGGCTCTGTGTGAGGTGGGAAGGCCACACCAGGGCCTGTGGGGCCCCCTTGACCAGCGTTCTGAGGTAAATTTTTTTTTATCTTCTCCTGTTTGAGCTGTAGACGTGCTGGCCTCGTCTCTAGTCTTTATTTTAACTGCTAAAGTAAAAAAAAAAAACCTAGTAAGTGACTAGCTGTTTAGGTTCGAGGCTACTTTTTGTAAGAGTCTTGTGTGCAGTGAGGAGAGAGCGCCACAGGCACGGCCACCTCAGGGACAGCCAGCACCAGGGCTGGTGCCTGTGGGCACCATTACCAAAAAGAGGGGCCTACTAGTTTGGGAAAACACTGCTGAAAGAGCAGCAGCCACAGTCAGCTTACAGAGGTGCTGGGTGCTTTTTACTGGGAAAAATGGGGCCTTTCTGTGGTGTGTTGGGGAGACTCCTGGGGTCAAGCATCTCCTCAAGCAGCCCTGTGCAGCTCGCTGCCCCCTCCTACCTGATCAGCAGCGTGTCAGAGGGAAACCATCGGAGTTAGTCTGGAAATGCCAGCAAGCCCATGCTGACATGGCCACAGGGTGCAGATGGCTCACAGCTGTGCTTCCACAGGGCCTTTAGTGGGTTTAAAGTTTGCCTCCTGAAAAGTTACTGCTCCCGCCCCCAGCCTGCTTCTTCACTTGTGCCCTGGATGTAAAAAAAAGTGACCTTTTTGGACTCGTGTGAATGATATAAAGCCAGAGAACTGGGCCTGTGGTCTATTATTTAAAATCTGAAGTGGAGTCTAATGTGCTAAGCTCTCTGCCTCCAGCTGGGCTCAAAGCAAGAAAGAGGGGGAAAAGGAATTTTGAAAAGAGTTCACTGATCATTTCAAGCCTTGCAGGGCAAATGTTTTCCTTTAAAAAGCATTTTGAAGATCTTCAAGTGATCATAGGTGCAAGCTGCTTTGATCTGACTGTCAGTAGTTTCTAAACCTGGCATATGACTTTTACAATATCATCCCATGGGGTTGCTGGGCAGCTTTTCTCCCAGTGGGTACAGATATTTGGGGAATCAGAGCAAAGACAATGTATGAATAATCCATGGAGCAACTTACCTGCGTGTTATCTTCTCAGGCTTCCCTATTCTCAGATTCCTCACAGCAATGACATGTTGGATATTCAGGTTTATAATAGCAGGCTCAAAGAAAACTCCCTGCTGTGTATGCTAAACCACTTCACCAGAGACACAGAGCAGTTTTGCTCCCAAATCTCAGCAGCTCAGGCTAACATGCTGTACTACTGACCTACTTCCAGATTAATTACTCACTGGTACGCAAGGAAGACACACTGGGAAAGTAAATCAGCTGTTACTCTCTGGATAGGAATAAATCAACACTATGTATCACAAAGTCTGTAATAGTTCCTAACAAATGATGCTTTCTCATTAGGCCGGGGAGAGCAGAGACCCTTGGGTCATTTTGCAACCAGGAATGAAAGCTCAGAACTCCCTGGGAGGTGATTGTTATCCTTCTTATCTTTTGGGGGGGAAAGGGAGGAGGGCAAGAGGGTTTGAAGCCAGACAGAGGTTAAATGAGGCAGTAGCAGAGTAGGAAAGAGATTGCGGGAGTTCTGACTCCTGAAAACTTGGACGGTGGCAAGGAGAGCCGTTACAAAGAGGAAATACAACTCATGTGAGCACCAAGTGACTATACTGGCCAACTCCTATAGTCTGGCAGCAGGCTCTGATCTCATGTTGTATTGGCAGACGCATTTTGTTCAGCATAGCAGTCTCAAAGCTGTGACTTTGATGCTTTCCCTTGCTGTTTGCTGTTCTTGGTGGCCCATGTTGCATTTTCCTGGGTCTCTGATGGCAGACAGGGGTCTGGGATGTGTCACTCTACTTTAAACTTCTTTTGACCCATGTAATGCAGCAGGCACTCTCCTAGGTTGCATAACTCAGAGTAAGTTTTGTCCTTGGAGCCAGCTGGTTTTTGGACACAAAAAAGGGGTTAGAGCATATGACTAGTAAATTGAAGATTGTCCCAGATGTACAGAATCATAGAACCGTTTAGGTTGGAAAAGACCTTCAAGATCATCAAGTCCAACCGTTAGCAGTGCCAAGTCCACCGCTAAACCAGGTCCCTGAACACCACATCTACCCATCTTTTAAATATCTCCAGGTATGGGAACTCAACCACTTCCCTGGGAAGCCTGTTCCAATGCTTGATAACACTTTCGGTGATGAAATTTTTCCTAATACCCCATCTAAAGCTCTCCTGGTGCAACTTGAGGCCATTTCCTCTCATCCTATCACACATAACATAAGGCTTACAACTCACAGTGCTGACTGTTTCTGAAAAGAAAGACCAAAGAGCTGGGTTGTGGCACCAAATGAGGCAGATGGACGTCAGGTGCTGAAAGGCTGCACTCGCTCCTTCCCTGGTTTACTGTGACACAAGCAAGTTGCAGGTTGTGTTTATCAAATGTTGTCTCTCTTGGCCACCGTGTGGCTCTTCTTAATGTGCTCAGGCTTTTATTTAAAACCTAAATGGTCCCCGGGTAGGGTTGCTCTCAGCCCCTCAGTAATCCTCCGGTCTGCCTGAGCACTTGTCCCGTGTGGCAGGGAAATAACCCCTGACCGAGCCTGTCCTTCAGCCTCTTTGGTCAATGCGTGGACTAAGCAGCCGAGCTCTGGCTGTGCAAAGCAATGATTCGGGGGGGGAATGCCCTGAAGGAAATCAGCAGCAGAGCAGTTTGCTTTCATGCGTGGAAATACTGCGTAAGCGTGGGGTAAAGGTGCAGCCCTGAGGCCCCCCGGGGTGGGTGCAGTGGAGCTTTCCCCCAGCAGAGGACAGCCGGGCTCTTCGCATCGCTGCTGCCGGAGGAAGAGAGGGAGAGGAGGGAGCGGGAGCGCTGCCATGTGCCGGGGTGTGCGGTTTAACACCGGCCCGCTGAAACGCAACGCCCAGGGCCGCGGGGGGTGCAGGACGTCGCTGAAAAAGAGCCGCGAGTTCTGCAACCCCAGCAGCTTCTGCCATCCCGCTGTTTTCGGCCAAGCTATTCACGGTGTCGCTGGGGTGCTGGCTCCCCAAGCGATCAGAGGATCCAAAAATGCCTTAGCATCAGAGACCTGCTTGGAAATATTTGGCACAATATTTGTATTAGCACCTAAAAATGGGACTTACCGTTAGGAAAGCAACAGTTCCTCTTTGGAACAAGCCATTCAGACCTCACACGTTTGATTTCTTTGTGCAAGGAGCACGCTGCAAATGCAGTATGCATTCTTGTAATGACGGCTGTGTGACTCAGATCCGATTAAACACAGTGGTGCCTGGCTACAAGCTCATAAGTATAAAGTAAAAAGAGAGATTATATTATGTCAGATTGGTAGTAGGTTCTAAGGCGCTGGGATTTTTTTATTTTCTCTTTGCTTTGTTGGTTTGGTTTGTGTTTTTCAGTACTTTCTGCTGCCCAGTAATGGTTGAAAACTAGAAACCAGAATGAGACATTTCAATGATTCAAAACCACATCCTTCAAATTCTTCCCTCCTGCCCTACAGCTAGTGGTGATAAAAATGAAAGCTGATTCATTTCTTGGGTTTTAACCAAGCATTAGCCATAAGACTAAATATTTGGTAGCTGGAAACCCAAAGGAGGAAATATTAATAATGTAGTATTGTGTTTATGATTTATGCTATTATGATTTTACTATGCAAAGAGAAGATAATGGGATTGAAGCAAAATGTGAAAATTCAGTTTGAATATCAGGAAACACTTCCTGACACAAAACCACATCAGATTGCCCGATATTGTCCCAAGGGAAGTGGTGGAAATGCTGTTGCTTGGCACACAGAGAGTGAGGGGAGGCAGGGTGCTACAGCAATCGCACAGCCGGAGCCGACTGTGCCGGGGGAGCCCTGGCCAGCTCCCGGGGTGCTGGGCCTTGCGCCGGGAGGTT